CAAATACATGCTGGATGAGGACTAGTGTCATTAAAGAATTATACATATTTGAGAAAGAATGTCGACCTTTAAAGCCAAGTAAACAACTGCCCCACAGTCCATTCATGCAGATGTATGTAATCAGTGATCTGGCCTCCGTATAACCTTCAGTAATACCAAGAGAGCTCTTTTTGGCAGTATAAATAGAAAAGGTGAGGACACAGTGGTAGGCAAAGTACAGCTCTCCCAGGAAGCTTTTCGTCCAGTCTGAGTCAAGTACCACTAAGAGCAGCCAGACAGAACCACACTTGACTCTTCACCAAGATGCTGGAAGCAGGAAGCGCTGGCCTCTTGACTCTGAGCCTTCCAACACAGATGGAGACTCGGCTGTGGCCCTCAGACTGAAGAATTTACCACCACCCCCTCTACTCTAAAAACAGGTGGAGTTTCAGTTCATTTCCATGTTGTCATAACTTTTCCCCAGAAGCACCAAATTTCATTCCAGAAGGTGTTGATTTAAAAATTACAGTCAAATAATCCTTGGGAGTCCAAAAGCTATTCACATCTGTTGTTAGAGGAGAGCACCTGTTCTCCAGGACTTGCAGCAGTGGCTTCAGCAAGGGGCCACAAGCCTCCTTTTCCGAATGCAGGCCCAGATCCAGTCAGGAGAGACGTGCTTGGCCTCCAGATTCTCATCCACGTCCCCCATCACATGCGTGGCCGAAGCTGTGTCAAACTCCTGGACCAGGTCTCCATCATAGGCTATGAAATAGCGCCTGATTTTACTGAAGTCCTCCACGGAAGGAGGAAGGTACAGCTTCACCCCGGTGAATATGTCCAGCAGCGTCTGCTGTGTTACAGGCAGGAGACAAAGAGTTGGGTAAGTAAAAAAAGAAATTTTAAAATGCATCTTTGCTTGGGAAAGTCCTTAAAGTCAGGGAAGTATCAACCCTGCTGGTCACAGGTTCTGAACTTTTACTGGCTGACTTACAGTGACCCTGCAGGATTTTCTACGCAAGAGACTGACCAGGGCCAGCCCTGCTTAGCTTCTGAAATCTGTGAGATCAGGCTAGCTGGGACTATCCAGCTCGAGGCCGCTACAGAATACAGCTCCTGTAAAAGAATCCGGCAGTTCCCAAATAACATGGAGAACCGGCATTTTTAAAAAAGACAAAGCCTCCCAAGTTTCTAATCCTCAGGTTTGTAGTGAGAACTTAAACCACTTGGGGCAGCTTTTGAGAGGTGAAGCGTCTAAATCAGGGGTGTCAAACATGCGGCCTGGGGGCCAGATCAGGCCCCCGGAGGGCTTCTATCAGACCTGCAGTGGAACTGGCTGTCTTCTGCTTCTTCCAGTTCTGCTGCCGCTGCGTCATTATAGGTCTGCGGCTTACAGATACACACTTGAACAGCATACTCAAGATTGCAACAGCAGACATTTTGATGCAATAATTTAGAGCAAGAGGTATCAGTTAGACACTGTTAAATAAAATATTACAAAAGTGCTAATGTTTTAAGCATGATTTTAAGTAAAAAAAAATGTGTTTGTGTCCTTTATAAAAAGTTTATAACTCCGCTACCTGGCATTACATTTTATGACACACATGGCTCAGCCCAACAAGGTGTCATTTATGTCAGATCCGGCCCTCATGACAAATGAGTTCGACACCCCTGGTCTAAATGGTTCTTCCAGGAGGTTGAGTTGGAAGGGGAAACTTGGAATTTGTGCTGGGGCCCCCCTCCTGTTCTACTCTCCCCACCACAGCTTCAATCTCCCCACCACAGCTTCACTCTCCATGCCCTAAAGGGGAGGGGGGGCTGAAGAGTGGCTACGTTTCTGGTTAACAAGCACAGCATCTTTGTGTCTTGCATGCTGTCTTCTCAAGGCCTGTGGTGTGGTGATGAGCTCTGTCATATATTAAGACCACAGCAATTGGCTACACTTCAGTCTTTTAATGATTAGCCAACTGTGCTGCCACCTGTAAAAGTCTCTTGCTCCCAAGTGAGAACTGCTGCTCTGAGCATCTTCCTCTTCATCACTAAAGTTACACTGCAGCCAACTCTCCAATTTGCCGCCTCTGTAAGGAAACAGCAGCTGGGTTGAGAAACTGGCCGGGCCCAGTCCTGCTCCCTTGGGCCCAGCTTTGCTTGGAGGGAGCTTATCGGATGATGGGCACGAGGTTTAGCTTTAAGAACACTGCCCTGCTGGATCAGAGCAAGGAGACCATCTGGCCCAACAGTCTGTTTCCAACAAAGGTCATCCAGATGCCTTTGGAAGCCAACAGGCAGGTCATTTCATGCCTGCTCTCTCTTTGTGCTTTGCCCCCAGGAATCTGGCAATCTGGCTGGTGTCTGTTGGCTGATAGGTCTCTCAACAGCCCAGATCCACAAACATCTGGTTTTAAAGCACAGGCTTGTACCCTGTCTCCTGGTAAAGGATGGCACACACTTTCTCATCATGTTCAAGACTGCTCTCCCACCCCACAATGGGAATACACAAGAAGGATTACAGTGTGTATACAGACATAGTATTGACAAATGCACTGTGACAAAACGCAAAATTATACTAAGAAAAGTTATGTATTAATAAAAGATCATGAAAATATATCATACATAGAATAACAGAATCTCATAATACAGTGGGCAAGTGAGAAGGATCCAGAGGAGTCCCAAGAAAATCCAAAGGGATCAAAAAATCAGAAGTCAAAGTCAAAGATCACACGAGGGATTTTGGATATGCGAGCCTTGTTCCAGCACACTTCATCAGTGGAACTGCAAAATATACAATCACCGTATTGCTGCACGATGATAGAAATTATGTATATAATAAAACATGCTTAGCTGGCTTACCCAGTCACAGTACATCAATCATTTATTAGCTGTTACATAAATCTGAGTCATTAAGGGTGACTATCATTCCTGCAAAGTTACATGAAATTACAAGGTATGTATGTATATTACTGTCGTCTATGAATATTTCAAATTACAATAAAAAGCAATAGTCTTACCAGAAACTTTGTTACATGTTTTCTTATATCAGGCACTGCTCAAGCGTAATACAGAGAATCAACTGCAAGGATAGAATAAATGCCAAACACTCCAGTTTGAAACTTATGCACCCTTTGGGTTAAACCGATCGGTTGAATTTGTTTTTTTGTGAACTCTCTCTTAAATTCTGTGTAGGTTCATACACATTCCCACTTGTTTCAAACTGGAGTGTTTGGCATTTATTCTATCCTTGAGACGTTCTATCATAGGAGGCTATACCTGCATTAAATTGATTCTCTGTATTACACTTGAGTGGTGTCCGATATAAGAATACATCTAACGGTTTTAGGTAAGACTTTTGCTTTTTATTGTAATTTGTGATATTCATAGGTTTAGACCAGGTAGGAGACTCAGAATGTGGCAGGTCATAGAATCAGAGTTGGAAGGGGCCTCCAGGGTCATCTAATCCAACTTCCTACACAATGGAAGAAATTTACAACTCCCCCCCCCCACCCAGTGACCCCTGCTCTAGGGAGGAGTTGTGATATTGCTAACAAGGATGACTCCTGGCGCATCCTGTATGCCTTGAAGCGTGGTTGTTGATCTTGAAAACAGAGCATGAGGATATGAAGTGGAGTGTAGGAGATGGAGATGACCATCTTTTTTTGTTTGTTTGTCTGTTGTCATGCCGCAGTCAAATGATGACAACCCTGTAGGATCTTCAAGGTAAGAGATGGCCAGAGGTGGTTTGCTGTTGCCCGCCAATGCGTAGCAACCCCAGACTTCCTTGGTGGTCTCCCTTCCAAGTACTAACCAAGGCTGACCCTGCTTAGCTTCTGATGAAACTGGGCTAGCCTGGGCCATCCAGGTGTCAGGGCAAATGAACAGAGCTGGTTTGCCACTGCTTGTGTCTGCATTGGAACCCTGGGCTTCCTTGGTAGTCTCCCATCCAAGTACTAACCATGGCCAACACTTCTTAGCTTCCAAGATGTGACCATCTACTATGTCTCTTTTCCAGAGCAGAGGAATGCTTTTCCAGAACTGAGATGACAATAATATATAATAATATACATACATA